AGTCAGCATCATCTTCATCGGTTGTAGATGACGCAGATGCAACTATAGGAGTAAAACTGCAGCTCGTAAATAGATTTGAAAACGAAATAGTACCGAACGTCAAAAAATTGTAAGACAGTGGCAACAGTCCGAAAATCTTACATTTAAGTTCAGATTCCGCAATCAATGAAAAGAGACTAGCAGCAGCATGCATCCCCTCAGGTGGCAACCGCGCATTACCTCCAGAACCATCCATTGACTAACAGGAATCAGCACAATCGTTAGTCAAACATTGCCCAGTGGTATCGCATAAGAGGCAATTAAATTTTAATTGTATCGTTCCTTTTGATTCTCAAACATAAAAGTGTTGGCTGAGACGATGACAGGTATATTAATAAATACCCTGACAATCACAATGTAAGCCCAAAAGATATGGCCACAGAGTTTCATGAACACAACCATGCATAATGTTATAGATACATGTAGCTGTGTTTGACAAAAAGAAAGTAGTTGTGTTAAGAAAAAAAATCTTAACCGTACTCACAGCAAGAAGAGTTGTCCAGGTATCTAGCAAGATATCGCGCGCCTCATAGCTCCAAGTCTCTTGATCATTGTTATTCGCCAATAATACTTTGACAACTTCACTCATTAACAGAGATAGGAGTGTAAGAGTACCGAAGGGCCTGAAGAAACAGGAAAGAGCCAAGTATTTATGAATCACAATCCCTAAATGGGTTATAACAGCAAAAAGGTACTGTGTCAATTGTCAAAGACCTTATTGATCGCAAGAGTCGGTCAAAGACAACAGGAGTAGTAACTGTGGCGATAGCCAACAATGCGCGACAACCGTCAATCATCTCACTGGAATATGAAGTTGACGAGACACCGTTAAAGTTGGAATACAAGACACAGAATTTAAGCAGGGTTAGAGTGTTGAACAGCTGACCTTCCACTCCTTCCTTCTTCAATCTCCTTTGAAATGACATCAGGAGGATCAATCCAGGGTAACACCCCTGACAGCAGGAGGAGCAGATGCTGCTCTCGCATCTGTGCATTGTCTAGATTACTGAACAAGTCACTAACAGGAAAATATATATAGTGATAAGGAAAACATGATGGACATCCATCGTTCGTTAATTGGCGAAGCAAACTAGATGCTGAGTGAATTTAATGTTGATATAACGTATTCAACATAAGAGTAATTAGTAAAAGTTACAGAAGCATAGAATACTCACTGGATGGAAATACTTCTCCTGCCAAGGAGCACAACTGTACAATAAGTTTCCGAGCAGAGACTGCAACAGGACAATCTAGCCAATAGCCTTCAAAAGCAAACTTCTGCCTCAGCGACGAATACAGATTTATCAGCCATCGAACATGTGAACTTGAAAGCAAAACATCACACCACGAAGCACCAGGCTGCAATCAGAACCATTGAAGGTGAGATTAGAGTCGATGAAAGTGTTTTTAAAAGTAGAAACTCATGCTAGTATCACCCTTACGATATTTCTGAATTTCGACAATTTAGTGAAGTTGAGGCACATGAAATATAGCTTAAATATAACCATTAACTACCTGAACTATTACACACTCTGTCTTTCGTGATGAAGCATCAGATCTAACTCCATCAGAGAATACATTAATGCTGCCCTTTGTGCCACCTTTGCTGTACCGAAACTCCCAATTTAGTATCTGATGCATTAGTCGCAACGCAGCATTGCAAACCTTAACCTCAGGGACATCAGAATGTGACTCCACAATCTTATTTGTAACACTTAACGCAGCATCCTGTGCCCAGCTATAGAAAGTCTGCAATTGAAACCATCGGAAGTAAACATCACAGTTTTAGTCACAGAACCCTTGGTACAGGCTATCATTCCTCCAAAAACAAAATGTTGATTGGTATCACAATATCTGAAAGCAAATGAAATCCTAAGAATACCTTTAAATAGTTTTGTTCAAGTGACTTGCGGCAATTTTCATGAAATTCCCTCGGGAGACTCATGGCACTTGAAGTAGAGGGTGAGAATTCAGATACCTGAGATACTGAAACTATGAGCACGCACATGGTATACATATAACGCCAGAAAAAAGATATTATAAACAGAACATTACCAATGATTCAAGAAAATTAATACCGATGAACTGCACATCTAAGCCTCGAGAACCAAGAATGGCCTGGTTGATCTGTAAAAAGCAATTATTAAAAGCCAAAAGCAAATCAATACCATGATCCTTTTAACAAACATTAATATCAGACGATTCCGTTATATTTTTAAGAATATAATAGCAGCACTTCCGCAATTTTCAAGGTATACCCTGAACATCAAACTATTGTGTTCCCGCCAAAATATGTAAGCAAGCACCAACAGCTTTTTATTAAGGGGTGGACCATCGAAAGACATATCTAGCTGAACTACGGAGCAAATGATCCATTACTACTTAATCACCCTAATGATGACTAGTCAACCTACTCAATCACTCTAATTCCATTCCCGTCCATATCTTACAAGGTTGTTACAGTTAACAAGGTTTTGAAGTATCAGGTAAGTATGCATTTTTTTATCAAATAAGCTATCGTGTATAAAATGCTGGAACAAATTGAAACATATATACAGCTAATTTTAATCAAAATGTTAGATACGAATTATAAAAAATAGAGTCCCAGAAACTGCAAAAAATGTAGATACCTGGTAGAAAAAGACTTCTTTCTCGGCTGGAGTAAACTCAAGCCTATAAGAGTTATTCAGTCAGTTTACAAGTTTCCTTATATGAACTAAGCAGGCAAAATGAAAAGAAAAAAGTAATTTGTGTAAATTTAACTGCACTATTCTATTTTTCCAGAAGCTGTCAGTCCATAAGCGTGTGTGTAACCAACAACTAATTTTCATGAATCCTTTCATATGCATAGAAATGACAGCTAACTTCCAGTATCAACAAAGCATGCCAATATTATTCTGAATACCAGAAACGGCCCAGCTTACCAGCCTCTTTTCATCAGCTGCGCAGCGACAGAAGATACTTTTGAAAACACATAGGCATCAGATGAATTAGCATGCTGCATGACGTAGCCAAGACAGAAGCTGCAGAAAGAAACAGCCATATTCCAGAATTTAAATTCTTTTTATGAGCCAACAACTAATACCAAAACCTATAATTTATTAATACAAGTCTCAATAATGTGTTTCCCATACCAACCACAAAACATAACAGTCAAGACACAGTAGGTTTCACAGTCCAGAAGTAAGAGTTGCAAGTATGAAGGCTCAGAGTTGATTCGCAAAGCAATCACAATTCACAAATACAAACTTAGCAGAGATAACCAACCGTTGTGTAAGCTTAAGCGTTCATCAATAAAATAACAATAAAAAGAAGAACAAAAAATAACCTAATCAAACCGCCTTTATCCTCAGTGGAAAGAAAACTCCATTCCCTGATAGCTGCTTCTTTAATAGCTGCAGCAGCTTGAAACCTAGCAGACGCCACCTGAGAATTTTCTGGAATTACAAAAAACAAACACTCTCAGTCAAACAGCTGTAACTTCAAGTTCACTGAGAGCATTCAGATTCCGAATTTTTACCAAGAATGAATCTACAGGCCTTGTATGGCTGAGGGGACTGGTGAAACGACAATATAGTAGCTTCAGCAGCAGCTGGATTAGTATTTATCTGTTGACAAGCAAAAGAGAAACGTTACGTACTCGTCTCGGTTAAATAGTATACTCAATCAATTCACAAAAAAAAAAAAATCAATAAACAACTTCCTGTGACTTCAATTTGAAGCCAAACAAATAAATGCAACAAACAATCATATCTAAAGCTTCCTCCGATGTATTATGAGGCACTTGTTGATGCGTTAAGTATAAAGGGAGAAAGCGAAACCTGAATGTAAGAGCAAGCGAGTTCAATCGCGCGCATGGTGGATTGAAGCTGAGATAAATCCTCAGCTCCAACTCCGGCGCTTCCGTTAAACATCGGAGTGTTAAGAGGAAAATTTCGATCGGAGAAGGAAAGTGGCGGCGTGGAGCAGAGAGTGAATGGCGGAGAAAGGGATCCGATGATGGCGAGAGAACCGGGGGAGATGGAATCGATGTTTTTACAAGAGGGCCGTGTGTGTCGTGGGCTTTGAGAATTAATTAATTTTATGGCCCAATACAAGGCCCAGTTAGAGACAGTTACAGTTTCATTATGCATTAGCAGTTGGATTAAGACCTAATCTGGATTCCAAAATAGACTTGGGAATTTTATCCGGAACCGAGGAACCAATCCAAAAAAATATCAACCCAAAAAAATATTAAGAATTGAATCGATCACTTTATCCTATTGGGTCTTGTTGTGGAGGTCCCTTGACTCGATTCGAATCTGAAACCCGATGAGGTACCCGTTAATATATTTTTGATATTATGAGTATTATTCTAAGTTTTGGATTTGGTTTTTCGGGTAGGCTTTTAGGTTGTAAGTAAAAAATTTGATTTTCCAAAATACAATTTGGATAACCAAATAAAATTTTAGATATTTTTATGTTTTCGAGTAAAATTTTCGGGTGTTTTTGTGTTTTTGAATATTTTTAGGTTAGACTCGAACTGAACCCGACCCAAGACCACATCGAACCCAAACCTATAAGTTCTAACTATTTATTGGGTCTAACTATCTAAAACTCGAACCGATTCTGAACTTGATAGGATCCGATCCGATAAATTCTAATTATCCTATTAGATCTAAATATCTAAAATTTGAAGAATTTGGATTTGATATAACTCGATCCGAACCCGACCGAGAACCCCCATGCTCAAACTTATTCGAAAACTTTAAAATAGAATTTCGATAGCAATTGACCAATAAAAATATTAAAGGGTCCAATTGAATAACAAGGAGAAAAGTGGTCCAGATTCCTAAATAATATAAAATTCAATTATTTTTTTCTAAAAGTCACCCTCAAACTCTATTGTCTTTGGACTCTCTCGACTACACATAGAGAAGAAGAATCTCAAGTACTCCAACTAGAGAAAGAGAGAGAGAGAGATGAAGGTGGTGGCTTTAGTAAGTGGGGGCAAAGATAGCTGCTATGTCATGATGAAGTGTATCCAATACGGTCACGAGGTACTTCTTCTCTTACTTGTTGTTCTTAGAGTTTCCCTGAAACTACCTCAAAGATGTTTTCTTTTTTTTGGTGCTATATGAACTTTAATCTAAGTTGAGGGTTTACTTCTTTGTGTTTCCACAGATCGTTGCATTGGCGAACTTGTTACCGGTTGATGATTCGGTCGATGAACTGGACAGCTACATGTATCAAACTGTAAGACTCTGTCTGCTTCTTCATTTGTCTTTAATGGTTCGATTTATATGTTTGATGATTGTGAAAGCTGGATACTTGAATTGAATTTGAACAAGGGTTGTAAGAAAGATTGGATTTTTTTTACCATCATTTCAAAAATCAAGACTAGATACTGTCATTAACAGGCTTTATAAATTTGGAATCTAAATTTAATTCTTTGATTTGAGTGTCTCTTCTTCAGGTAGGTCATCAGATTATTGTGAGCTATGCAGAATGCATGAATGTGCCATTGTTCAGAAGGAGAATCCGAGGTTCTTCCAGGTTTAAGCTTCTACTTGAGATTCTAATCTTTTTAATTTTTGTTTTAGTGGGAGATTTTGTCATACTGAGGATTTTATGTGTGCAGGCATCAGAAACTTAGCTACCAAATGACACCAGACGATGAAGTGGAAGATATGTTTGTGTTGTTGAGTGAAGTGAAGAGACAGATACCTTCCATCACGGCAGTTTCGTCTGGTGCCATTGCATCAGACTACCAACGTCTGCGTGTGGAAAGTATTTGTTCACGGTTAAGTCTTGTTTCTTTGGCGTTTTTGTGGAAACAAGATCAGACTTTGCTTCTTCAGGAAATGGTAAACCCAAGTTACTTTCAATCTCAAATATTTCTCTTATGGTTTGTCTTCTTTAATTCGTTTTTTCGTTTACTTGCAGATAGCAAGTGGGATAAAAGCTATCTTAGTCAAGGTACTGTTATATTTTTCGCTTCTTTTAACATCGATATCTTCTCACAATTATGGGTTGTTTCATGTTAACAGGTGGCTGCAATAGGGTTGGATCCTTCAAAGCATTTAGGGCAAGACTTAGCCTTCATGGAACCACATCTTTTGAAGTTAAAAGAGTATGCCACAGTCTCTTTTTAACGCTTCACTAAGAGTGTAATCTAATTGTGTTACATTGATTATGTGGCTTCTGAATGTCTCTTTAGGTTATATGGAAGTAATGTTTGCGGTGAAGGAGGAGAATATGAGACTCTGACTCTCGATTGTCCGCTTTTCACTGTATGTCTCCTTAACAATGTTGTGTTCATTGTTTCATTACCTTTATTTGTAGCTTGACAATCTCCGTTTTCTTTAGAATGCGAGAATCGTGCTTGATGAGTTTGAAGTAGTGCTACATTCTCCAGATTCTATTGCACCTGTTGGAGTTCTTCATCCAACGATCTTCCATCTCGAAAAGAAGGGAAATCCAGACTCTAATCCCCTTGAGAAGGAGCCAGGTTTGGTCTTTGAGGTTCAAGGAGATGGTCCTAACAACACACCAGAATCTACTCGCCAACTAGATAATGGAACAGTAGATGCAGTTGAACATACAAGAAACGGAGTTCACTTATCAAAGACCGGTAAAGAAAACACATTCTCCATTTGCTGCTGGCTGGAAGATTCTGGTGAATCTTCAACAGGTCTGAAAGAAGATCTTGAGACTGTTCTTACAGAAATCGAGTCTCAGCTTCTGAAACATGGATTCAACTGGCAGAATGTTTTGTACATTCATCTTTATATCTCTGATATGAGTGAATTCGCTGTGGCCAATGAGACATATGTGAAGTTTATTACGCATGAGAAGTGTCCTTTTGGTGTTCCTTCACGTAGTACAATAGAGCTTCCTTTGGTACAAGCTGGTCTTGGAAAAGCTTACGTTGAGGTTTTAGTAGCAAAAGACCAAAGCAAAAGAGTTCTCCATGTACAAAGCATCTCCTCTTGGGCACCTAGCTGCATTGGACCTTATAGTCAGGTGAATATACTAAAAGTTTTAATTTTATTAACAGCAAGTAAACTCATTTTACTGTAAATACTTTTTTTTTCTTTCAGGCTACTTTGCATAAGGGTGTTCTTCACATGGCTGGACAGTTAGGGCTTGACCCTCCCACCATGAATCTTAGAAACGAAGGCGCAATTGCTGAGTTGAATCAAGCATTGACGAACAGTGAGGCGATAGCAGAGGCTTTTAGATGCTCAATCTCTTCATCAGCTATTCTTTTTGTGGTGTTCTGTTCAGCACGCACAGAGCAGTCAGAGAGGGATCAACTTCATGAGAAGTTTCTTTCTTTCTTGGATTTGTCAAAATCTTCTCGGAGATTGGATCCTATCTTCCTTTACATCCTTGTCCCTGATCTTCCTAAAAGGTATTAAACACGGCAGAGAATCTAATATTACTGATCTGTGAAGCTCATACTTCGAACTTTTGTTCTGTAGGGCTCTTGTGGAAGTAAAACCTGTCTTATATGTTCAAGAAGATTCAGAGACAGACGATGAAACTAGAGAAGATCAATTGTGTGAAGGAGACTACAGTTGTTGGGGATATAAGCCAGAGAAATGGCACCAAGACTGTGTGCAGAAACGAGTTGTTGATGGGAAAATATGCGTGACCGTTCTCTCCATCTCAACGGAAGTGATGAAGAAGCTTCATGAACCTGAAGAGAAACAACAACTGGAGAGACTAACGAGATTCTGTGTATATCTTCTCAACAAAACCTTGTCTGAAAATTCACTCTCTTGGCAAGACACCACGGTGAGAATGAGTTACTTGAACGCAAATGTCAGTCTTTTTATCCAAAGCTTTACTTATATCTTCTTTTTGTTGATGCAGAGTTTGAGAATACATTTCTCCACAAGTCTTGGTGTGTCTGTAGAGATATTATCAAACATTTTTGAAACTGCATTCAAGGAGCTTAACGAGATGAGTCATGGAGGTAGAGTCGGTGACTCGAAAGAACCTATATTCAATCTCGTCCCGGTCCTTTCTGCTGGAATTTTTTCTGCTTCGTTGGACAACATAATCACCTGTGAACTACTTTCCCTAAGGTCTTAACTTTCCTTATCTCACAAGGAACGCAAAGCTTTTTACTTCAATGGGGTTTCCACTGAACCAAGTGCCTTACCTCCCGTTTGTTTGCAATGGGGAGCCACTTGAACGGCACAATGTTTTTTCTTTGGAAGTCAAGTTTCATTTGCGGAAGAACAACACGTAGTTGTTTTGTTTGAAATGAAAATCGTTAGGATGTTTGTTTTGTTTTGTTTCATATGGATTAGTGCAAAACTAGCTGTTGGATTTTTCCAGTCGCTAAAAGAATTTATTGTTTACCGTCCGATTCTATCTTCTTTTACACGATTTTTTTCTAAGTTCTTAAACTTTGTTTTTACTTTAGGGTTCTGTATTAGGAAAATATACAATTCCTTGTCTGTATAGGATTTTCTTTTTCTTCTTCATAGTAGTTTTTCTTTTTATTTCTATTTTCCGTTTTCTGTTTTATTAGAAAGGAATACACTAAACCGTTCTCTAGTTAGTATATAAGGAGAGACAATCAATCATATTGAGTTTTCTTTAAGAGTTTTCATAAGCAGAGACCCCTTGTTACCTGTTTTCAATTTACCTTCGTTTTCTTCCGCCCCTTGCTGCTTTCGTGACTCTTTGCTAGGTCGTTTCTGTACATCTTTGCCGCCTAGAATGGTAGTGTGTTTCTCAAACTAAACCTTTTGATTTTAGGTTTCATCATGTGTGTTTGGTCAACATTATGTGTTGTATCATCTTCTTAATAGGAACAAGTTGGAACTTCTATAGCTTCAGTTGCTATTCCAGGGACCATGAAATCACGGCGGCAGCGTAAGAATCGTAAAACCAGAAGCAGCAGCCACCAACAGTATTCATCACTGCCACTACCAATCGATCTCATGTTCGACATCTTCTCTAGGTTATCCCTCAAGTCCATTGCCATCTGCCGTTGCGTATCCAAGCCATGGGCCTTTGTACTTGACCACTCTGATTTCAGGGATCTGCGCTTGACAATGTCACAGGCTCGCCCTCGTCTATTGTTTGCCATTAAGGAAGATAATAAGGTCACCTTCCTCTCCTCACCTCAGCCTCAAAGTCCTGATGAGATGTCTTCTCCTCCTGTTGACGCCGATCATCACATGAGTTTCTCCTTTGATCATCCTGTCAAAAGTGTAACCGCATGTGTCAATGGCCTTGTCTGTGTACGTATCAGTGGTCATCGGTTGGTAAATGAGAGGAGATTCAGGGTGGAGGAGTCTGTGTTATGTAACCCTAGCACGGGACAATCATTTACTATACCGAGAATGAAGACAAGGAAGAGGGTTAGGGTAGTACGTTATTTCGGGTATGATCCAGTTGAGAAACTACACAAGGTGTTGGGTATGATCCGTCGAAGATATATGGTCGACAGAGATGAGGAGCATCAAGTGCTGACATTAGGAGGAAGTGAGAAAGCGACATGGAGAATGGCTGAATGTGACATACCATCTGCTTCTTCTGGGAGTAGAAAGAGTATATGCATTAATGGTGTTTTCTATTTCTTTGGGACTTCTAGATTTGTGGATTTGATAATTTGCTTTGATGCTAAATCTGACAAGTACAGCTCTGTTAAGGCTCCGGAAAGGGAATTGCATCATAACCTGGTAGACTTCAACGGTAAATTGGGTTTAGTACCAATGGGAAGAAGTTGCAATTTCAAAAGTGAAACTGTTGAGGTGTGGGTTCTGGAAGACCCAGAAAGACATGAATGGTCCAAACGTGTTTACATTTTGCCACCTTTGTGGAAAGATGTAGTTGGTCGTAAGGAGTGGTTAGAGGTTGTTGGAGTGACTGGTCCGAATGAATTAGTTATGTCGCTCACATGTTCAACTGATCCTTTCAATGTTTATTACTGCAATTTCGAAAAAGGAACAGTAACAAGACATGTAATCCAAGGTGTGGGAGAGTTTGGGGATGGGCGGAGGTATACCTATCTGAACCATGTGGAGGATGTGAAGATTATGAAATTATAAGGATAAAAGCATCAGAGCAGCAAAGAACTCGTCATCATAGTCTAAGAACTCGTTCATCCATCATTGATGGCTTGTGAAAAATGCTTTAGATATTTAAGAGATAACAAAAAGTATTAGAAAATTACTATAAAATTTTAGATATTTATAGAGTTAATCATAGATATATTAAAAGGTTTGCTTTTTAGATTTATATATTTTGATTCATATTTTATATATAGGTTATATCACTGATTAAATTTTATAGATACAACCTTTGTTTTGTTCTTATTTGATTATTTTATGTGTAGAAAATAGTTAACATAAGTGTAGATATATATATATTTTAGGTGTAATATGACAAAATAACATCAAAATATTTTACAGTGTCTAAAAAATTAGATAAACTTCACCATGAATAAAAACAAAAAGTACTATACAATACATTCTTATATTTATATGAACATTATATATATATTAATTATTAATTTATGTTTACACTGGAACCATATATTTATATAAAGTTTTAAAAAAATATATATATTTTATCAAATTGTGTCATATTTAACCATGGCTCAATTCAAGACTGATAGATAATTTTAGTTCCAACAGGAAGAGTAACGAACTCGTTTTGTAAATACAAATTACAAAACCTAACTTTAGTTCCAACAGAAACAACGTTTTCTATACAAAAAAGAAACTTCAAGCGCAAGTCACTAGGTCAATGTCATAACTTCCAACTTCTTCTGCAAGTCAAGATATATGTCATTCATTAATCTTCTCTAACTCGTTTCTTAGTAGCCCCAGAGGGAGATCCACTTTGATCCAATGAGCCTAAACCACTCTGTTGTAGTCTCTCTGTTATTATTGATGGTTGTAAACTGATTGCTTTAGGGTTAACTTTTGGTGATGGAGCTAAAGAAGCTTCTGAGCCTATTTTCTTCTCTTGCATCTTTTGTTGTTTCTCAATCATCATCTGGAGATACCGACCTTGTTCCTCAATTTGTAACTGCAATGTTCTTTGGACCTGGCATTGTATTAAGACCAATATCATCAGACAAACTAGGAATCAGAAGAAAGTAAGAGTATAAGGGGACAGTTTTTGTTTGAAACATACCTCAAGTTGCTCGTGGAGTCTTTTCTGAACTTCCATCTGTAGCCGTAGAGCTTCAGTGATTTCAATGCTCCTGAAGAGGAAGACATAAGTACAAAAATTGTCAGGTATTAAGAAAAAAACTTGCTTGTGTTTGTTCAGACGGAAGAACTGAAAGTTTAGCTTACGTCTTCAAGTCAAGAGATTTGATATCTTCAATGGTTTTCAAAGTCTTCAGTGGAGGTTTTTCTGTTCAAACAAGGAAAGAAAATTTTAATATAAAGACTTGTTTCCTCACACACAATGTCTCTTAGATGGCATCAAAGCTTGTAAAGCTATTGCAAGAGTAGCATAAGAGCTTGATTCATTAGATGTATCTCAGAATTAAATCCATGGAAACATATAAGAGTACCTGTATCTACTAGTGTGATCTCTGGCTTATACCTAGCCGTTCTGTATTTCTGGAGAGAAGTCATCAATATAAAAACGGCTCAGGTGAGAAATGAAATGAGCTAAAGCATACAAACCAAAAAAAAAACAGAGATAAAAAGTAACCTGCAAATGGCTTTTGACATGGTAAATGGTCAGCCCTGGGCTATTGATGAGTTTCAATACAGCCTTAGGTGTGGCTCCTATAGTTTACAATCATAAGAAACAAATAAGTTTACTGAGCTATAATCTGCAGACATGAGAAGAGAGAAAGGAAAGAGGAGGCTCACGCACGTTCACTACCACCTAGCTGATTGATAGCATCAACAAATGCTTCATGAAGTTCAGGTGTCCAACGCATTCGTTGCTTAGATGTCATTGAGCTCTTACCAGTAAAATGCTCCTTTGATGGATCCACCTGAGTATTGACTACTATCTCTTGCCTAGAGGGTGCTGGTATCTGTTACACATCATAAGAGCTTTTTTAATAAGAAATCTCCATGTTAGTACATAGATATAGAGACTTAGCTGCAGAAAACAAACCTTTGAATCTTGATTAGGATCACCTAGAAGCTCCGGCCAATTAGGTTCTAGACCATCATCAACAGAGATCATCTGATTGGCCCAGTCTGGCCATTCATTTTTTGAATGCACTTCCTCGGATAAGACCATAGCTCTGCTGCTCTCTGCTTGTGTGTCCTGAACAGGAAAGTCAAAGAACCCCTGAAGCTGGTCTTCAGGCCAGCTCATGTCTTTCATCTCCTGAGGTTGGTTAATCACTGATAATGATTGTGTTTCTACTGAGACATTAGGAACGGATTGCCTGGTCTGTGAGGAAACGTATGTGCCATTACAGAATCCAGAAGAACTTCCACCAGAGACTAGAGGAAACACTTGACAAGGTACAGGGTTACTCATCAGCTCCTGTCCTGATGAAACCCACAAAGAGTTAGTAAACTTATGGTGATGGTATCTTCTCTCATCTAGATTTCTAGGAAGAAGAGGGAAAAAAGAAGACATAGAGGTTTGAAAACCGAAATCTCCAGTAAGTGACATAGAAGAGAGATAATCAAAGAAGTGTATTAGCTTAGCAAAGGACATGTGACTCACTATCAGTAACTTATATACACAGAAAATGAATCTAAAGGACATGTACTGTTGAATAAAAATTCTCTTGCTATAATTGATATCAAAGAATATTCTTCACTTTCTGGTTTTGCCTTGAATTGTAACTTCAGAAGGTATTAACTCAAGAGGAAAGATTAAAAAAAGTAACAAGAAGAAAATGCATATATTCTTATCCAAAACCAAACTTGTTTTAGCCATGAACCAAAACAGGAAGCGAAGCTATCATGGAAATGACAGATGCATCAAAATCAAAAAAGTGGACCACAAAATAAGATATTGGAATCAAATGCAAGCAACTGGGAACGTCTCATTTGGGGAAAGGAAAAGAAAGAAGAAAAAAAGCAATATGGCTTTTGGTAAATTAGAAAGACGTTCAAGAAGGAGAGCCATTATGAGCACATTTTATCATTCAATCAAAACCCCTTAATCAAAATTGACACCTCCTGAAGGAACAAGAATCTTACAGACAACCAAATCTAAAATAAAATAGCTTGACCACTGAATAGAAGAAATGATTCTTGGATCATAACAAGTCACAATCTTAAGATCGAACCTTCTTATCCTCCATGAAAAATCAGACCTTTTGCTATTAAAAAGAAAAAACCAGAAAATACACAGCCAACCAAAACCAATTGAAGAGAAACAGCAATATTAATCACTTTAAGCTGAGTCAAAACCTTGAGATTGAGCTTTCTTATCCTCCATGAGAAAAATCAGACCTTTTGCTAATGAAAAATGAAGATTTTGAATAACAGAACATAGTGAACCAAAACCACATTAAGAATATCGATAAATGAACAGAATCAGCAAAGCTAATAACAGATCAAACGGACAATTAGTGAGTGTTTAACTCTTCCCTCCACAATCATAAAGAACAAAAAAAAACAGCTAACTCCCTGAAGAGATACACACAGATTGTCTACAGTGAGTAAATGGATTATGGAATCTCCACACAAACCAAAAAAAGGAAAGAAAAGGATAGAATCTTCTTACTCGACCAAGCACTATAAGCGCAGCTAACACAGAATCCAATACCAAAAAGTGCTTTTGATTGGATGATTGAACTAAACGAAAGACTTGTCTTTATTTTGTCTTCTTGATTTTACCAAACAGAACAAAACTATATATCTTTCTCTCCTGAAATATATGAGAAGAGACTATGTAAGAACAGAGTCAATATCCAAATTTTAGCAAAAAAAAAAAGAACAGAGTCAATAGATGTTTCTCTGCCGTAGAAGATATCGAACGGCCGTGTTATAAAATGTACCCTATGTGGGGTCCATCTGATGTTTGCTTCTATTTTGATTGGTCCAGTGTTGCTCGGTGCTTACTACGTCAAGGCACTACCCAATTTTAATTTTAAGACATTTTCCTTTCTTTTTCTTCATTTTTAGACATTTTCATAATGTTTGACCTAACCTAGTTGCAGTTTTATATTTGTTTGATTTTCCATTAACATCAGAAAAATCTATGATCTATATTATCCACTGAAAGTGATTGAAGAAAATCGTTTTTAAAACATTTTCTTCAAACAGTATCTAATCATGTTAAGCCACGTGATTAAGCATATAAATTAGGCGCATTTTGCAGGTTCATTTCAGCTATAAAGAAAAGAATACACACAATGTAAATGATAAATTATTATTCTGCATTGCATTGGGCTTATTGGGCTGGACAGTCTCATTTCATCTCGTGCATTACAACTTCCCCTTTTGGGCCGAAAATTTAAGCTGTAAAGAATCAAAGGCCCGCACTAATAGGCATACGCAATAATACAAGAGGAAGAACAGTTTAACAGAAAAATCCGCATATTTCTTGTTTGATTGGACACATAAATTTTAATCTCACTGGCAAAATTAAATGTTGAACAAAACCATAATATAAGTAATAACTAGAATCAAGATTAAGACATAACACAAGTCTAAGACAAAAACAAAACATCCTCAACAGAGGTTTGATTAAATGTTCAGCAAAACACAAAAGAGAGATCTTAAACGATGGCGTTTGCAGCACTTGCAATCCTTGGCCACAGGTCAGCACACTCCTTTCCGATTGGTCCAGTGATAGCAGATCCTATATACATAACATTATCCCCAAACAGAAACATACAATCAGCTACCAATATAACTTCAAATCAAATAAAATTTTATTTATAAAAAACATAACTTATTACCTTTCATTTCACCCTTGGGATTGACAATGACACCAGCATTATCTGCAATTAACCACAAACTTTAATTAGACTTTCAGCAAAAATAGACAAAAGACAAATGAAGAAATGATTAAAATGCTAACCCTCAAAGTACATGAAGACACCATCCTTTCGGCGCCAAGGCTTCCTCTGCCTAACAATGACAGCTGGCATCACCTTCTTACGTAGATCTGGCTTACCCTTCTTCACGGTAGCCATAACCATGTCACCAACACAGGCGGATGGCAAACGGTTAAGACGACCCTTGATACCCTTAACGGAAATGATGTAAAGATTCTTGGCTCCAGTGTTGTCAGCACAGTTCACGGTGGCTGCCACTGGAAGACCCAGTGACATCCTGAACTTGTTTCCAGAGGTTCCTCCTCTTCCTAACATGAAACAAAACATCACAGATGAGCAACACTATAAATCAACCTATGTAACAGACATATTGTTATCTTTATGATCTCTAACATATGATTCATGACAAAGTTATATTCTTAATAATCAAAATCAAACAGGGATCCTCGAAACTAATCACAATGGGTGTAAGCTACAAACACAAAAATCAATCATGTAGCTACTGAATCTCATAAGAATATTTAAATACTTAAAGGTGATGGGTTATCCAGTGAAACCAAGCAGGGATAAACACTTGATCTTCCACAAGTGAACGAGCTGGGAAGAGATATGATTCTTACCTCTCTTCGACATGGTTGCAGCTCTCCTTGGGAAGAGTTCGACGGCAGTGAGGAGACACGGTATATAAGTTGTTATGCTAGGGTTTTCTATAACTATTGTGTGCTGGCCTGGATTTGTTATTATGGGCCTGAAAAGCTCACCAGTAAGCCCATTAATGTAATACACTCTAATCTCGAACCAGATGGCATGTTTGGAAGTTGATTCTAACAATGCATCATTGAAATGTGTTCTTCAGATTAACAATTTTTCCACCACATGCTTTACACTCTAGAACCCTTTCAAAGGGAAGCATAACCAATTTATTTATTTAAAGAAGACCTTAATGTTAATATATTGGACATTGACAATGTAATCTCTAGAACAACCATTAACAAGGAGTTTCTTTGGTTACCCAACAAAACTCTTATTCTTGTCTAAACAATATTTGTCAGCTAACTGAGAAGAATCTGATCAGTTGAGATCATTTTACGAAAGAATAAATGTTGCGACGAATAACACTTCTCTCTAGAATTAAGCAGAGCTCAGAATGGGATCAGAGTGTAGTAGGTGTATTATGTTTTCTAAATGGAACTAACAACTCTAATGATCATTCTCATTTGCGCTTTACTGCCACCGCTTTGGAACCTGCGTTACATGAATAGATTTAGAGTTTGTTAGTAAACACTCAGCGACTGAATCATAATAGGATCAAAAGCTTTTGATCAAGGGACAACTGATGCCCTATCTTGTCTGAAGAGTGAAGACAGGACTATTTTCTCACCTGCTTGTTTTTTAGCAGGAACAGCTTTTCTTCTTTCTCCCGACTTGCCTTGAGTTCCTAATATCCCCACCAGAATTCATAATTAGCCAAGAATATTCAGTTTTCCCTCAACCGATGTACTTCTTACTAAACAAAACAAGTTCTAACTTAGAATGTGTGGGAGCATACTAAGGAATGTGTGTGCTCTGTCACAAAGATTTGAATAACGAAGGCAATGTGTAAAAGATTACTGACCTTTTGGCTTTTTGTCTCTGCATAGTTCGCTTCCGCAACAACATTTAAATGCCTTCACGGGATGACTTTCATCATGGAAATCTATCAAATAATCCTGCCAATTCAAAAAAAAACATGGGTTATTTGAACGGAGTATGCGTACAACTAAAAAGTGAATAACATTTCAGGAACACAGAAGACGTGTTTGGTCCATCTCAATTCGTGGAGTCATTTATAAACACTGAAGATATATATATAGTGGCAAAAATCATAATTTTTAGGATATATAATTTTCCACAGTTGTGAAAACTTCTTAGCCAGGTAGCTTAGTCAATGGTGCTTACCCATGTCAGTTCATCCATGGCCTTCACGTCTCGAATGGTAAAAAAGGCAATCTGCACATAACCAAACACAGAATATCCTTAAGCTCGCTGAAAATTTTACTCTAACAATTGGTGCCTTGAGGAAGATCAGGTTAGAGTGAGGAAATCATATACGTACATGATAATAATGTCTGTCAGGAGTCTCTATTTGTACCGGAATATCAATCAAGTTTGCATCCTCACATCTGCATCAACAATAGACTTCATAAGAAAATAAAGTACGAAAGAAACAAAACACAGGGAGAGTTGATTGGTACCTGTGATTGACAAACCTAGCGACATTTCCACAGATTGTGGCATCCAGGCAGAGAGCTTCTTCATCTTTCAAATCCTTTTCAGAACCCCAGTCTGCATCCAGAGTTACAGGATATGTATGCCGTTCACTAGTGGATCTTATATTCCGCTCGTACAACTCAGTGTTGGTCAATATTTCACCAATGTATTCAAATACGAAGGTCCCTTTCGGCAAGTCTTGCAGTGTTCTAATACCCCATCCCTTCCCTTCTTGAGTAAAGTAAACCTGCAACATATAATTTGCTCGTCAAACAAATGAAAAAAAAAAGAAGACCAAACATAAAGACATGACGCAGTTGTCAGCATATAGGAACTAAAGTAGCCTCTCCCAGATATGTTACCTGCAGTTGGCACTTTATCCCTCTCTGCACTACTCGATTCCCACACATCATATCACACCCACACTTTCTCCAGCACTCCTTAATAAACTTCCTGATCAAGTGCCCTTCACATTTCCCATTATCTCTCTCCAAAGGACAGTCTTGGCAGTAAAACTTACTGAACGTATCAGGTGCTTTTTTCATCTTAAGACAAGTATCCAAAAACTCCTCCTTCAACAACCCATCTTTACTATATGCATACTCTCCACCCGTTTCACGAGCACAAGCACACGGAAAATCAGCTGAAAGACAATCCCCCTTGCAACTCCCGCAACAATCATCATCCGAAATCCGAGCCAAAGACACATGCACGTAAGCACTTTGGTAAACAATGTTGTGAGGAATGTAAGTAAACTTAGGCACTTGCTCACTCCCAACCTCATCAACCAAAGATATCTCAACGCTCTCTGAACCTTTCGTTATGTCACGAATAATCGTTTTATATTTCTTCTTCCGAACACCATTGCTAGTCTGCTTCTTGACTACTTCCTCAGTGGATGAGCCTCCTGAGGTTGCAGAACGGGTTTCGTATTTTCGTTTCAGAGTAACGGGAGAGTCAACATTCTTCCCTCTATTAGATGAAGTTTCGGTTTGTTTCTTATCCTCTTCTTCTTCTTCGTCAAGTGAGTAGATAGCATCGATCAATGCGGTGTAGTTATCGAGTTTTATGTGATTCCAATTCTCACCATTCTCTTGGAGTAGCTTGCTAAGCACAGGGAGTGTTTTTTCATCTGGAATTTTGAGTTCTCTTGTTGTCTCGCAAGCTTTTCGTACCTTCTCGTCTGTGAGTAACAGAGGTTGCATATCGATATCACTCAACACACACCAAACACTGCAAAAACAAAATTACACACAAAAACAAAAAAAAAAACATTAAAATGTGAAATTAGAAAAGCTCTCAACAAATCACTCCCACAAGAAACTGCAAACACAAAATTACACACAAAAACAAAAAAAAAAACATTAAAATGTGAAATTAGAAAAGCTCTCAACAAAGCAAACTCTCAACAAATCACTCCCACAAGAAACTGCAAACACAAAATTACACACAAAAACAAAAACAAAAACATTAAAATGTGAAATTAGAAAAGCTCTCAACAAAGCAAACTCTCAACAAATCACTCCCACAGGAAACTGCAAACACAAAATTACACACAAAAAACAAAATAAAACATTAAAATGTGAAATTCAACAAGCTTATCTGCAATCAAAGCAAACTCTCAGCAAATACCAAAACAGACCTAACAACCTGATAAATTGCAATCAGGGAAACGAAACTCAATCGATTCGATTATTCGACGCGAATCAGAGAACAGCGAATGCTACAGAGTCATCAGATCAACGAGGATAAAAGTTTTTTCCGAATTTTTCGGAGATTTCAAACCTAAACTCGTCGAATCTCGAAACTAATGATACAGAGAGACCTAAAAGTAATCGGATAAGAGGATGCACGAAGGAAGAGAAGAATACGTGAGATAGAAGGAACAAAAACCTCAGTAAGCGGAAGCTTCGCGAATTAAAGTCGCGTAATCACAATCAGATTGAATTGCATGCAGAGAGGATTATCGAACTTTTTTGTGAGACTCAAAGAAAAAAAGAAATTAGAATAAAATTTACAAAAAATAAAGTAGATTCATTTAGAGAGTCAGAGAATCCGATTCACTGCGGAGTACACTGTTTGTTAAGATATTTTTCTTCTTTTGAACAGAAAAAAAAAGGGAGAGAGGAAATGTATTTTATTGTCTGTAGGCCCGTTGACTTGAGAGGCCCAAATAACGCGTATACTAATTTTTTTAGAAAACGGCGTCGTATTATACTCAAATTTGGATTTAGCTAGACTGAACATACCAACACTCTTTACATCGGTTAAGATGATATTAGTTCAATGGACCACATTAATCAAAATGCTCCCACATTTTTCAAACAACTTATGATTATTTCACGCTGTAAATTTTCCAATAGGATACTAATTAACAAGTGGATGCCATCATATTTTTCAGAATTTATAATGTACTCTTTTTAAGTATTGAAAGATTATAGATAAGGTGGCTTATATATAAAATTAACGGAAAATATTAATCAAATACAAATATTTCACATTATTATATCATCTTGCGATTGTTATATTCCCAACCGAATTTGATATCTATCATTGTGAAGCAAATGGCAAAGAACCAAGTTTTCTTTGGTTGCTTTAACAAATACAAGGACCAAACAAAATTTCCCAACGTCATTCTTCTCTTCAGCAATCTGTAATACAAATTTGAATATTTCATTAAGATTATTTTAGGTACTCAACTCATTTATCTCTTTCTAAAGTTAATTAACTATAATTCCTCGCAGTGATCATTTAAACCTTTTTGACATATTGAATAAGCATAAGTTATAGACTATTGTTCAACGTTATAATTTTCATGTTGTATGTAAATCTCTATATTAGATTAATTTAACTAAAAGAAAAGTAATAGATTAAGCGTACCATCTCCTTTTCTACGCAAGCTCTTGAGGAACATGAAGAAAATAGCAACAAAGACCAAAGCCGCGACTCCTCCTACAACTATCGCCAACGACTTCCCCGTGCTTGCTTTCCCTCCTTCCTCTGCCAACAAAATACATATTTCTTACCACCAACTTATATTTGTTTGACTATCTAAGTTCACGTTCGGTTTGACTTCAAAACAACTATTACAAATAAATAATTAATGTTTTTTTCTGAACTCATAAATAATTATTGTTTATTGACTATATATAACCCATAATCTTTATTTTCTCGGTTTGGCTATACTAAAGTTGAGAATGCTATTTACGAGTTTGATTATAAATTTACTAATCAGTTTATAAATATAAATAAATCGTTTAATTTAGGTACATATTTATATTCAAATAGGTGATAATGTTTTTTCAAAAAAAAAAAAGGTGATAATGTACATGTTGATACGTATTTGCATTTGTATATACATGCATACGTACCATGGTATGGATCACCGGGATATTCATGCGGGTTATACGTATACCCAACGTAACACCCTTCCAAGTATATTTGACCGGCGATGGACCACGGACACTCTTCTGCCGCTGCTGCTGCGGCCGCACTTACGCACTCGCCGCAATCACATGCTTCAACGTGGCCGTCGCATTGGGCAACAACGTGCAGGAGCTTGTAGCTTTCCTCGTAGAACCCGTGCCCGTCAACGACTCCTGTCTCGGCAGCAGCGAGTGCCTCCGTTCTCATCTCTTCGTATCCGGTCAACGTCTCCGCCGTAGCTCCGTCACATATCTTGTGGATGAGACCTCGTTCCGGTGTTTCCAATAACTTGTAGTTATGATGATTATACGCTTCTCCAAAATGGAAAAAAAACAAGTAAATCGTGTTGGAAAATTTACTAAAGAAAACTTGGTATATATATATATATATAGCCACTATACTTTATGTATTGTTAGCAAATTCACATTAATTAATAATATTAATAGGCCTTCAAGTTATTTTTTACAGTTACTAAATATACAATGTAATACTTACGAGCAGTAGGGGAAAAAATTACTAATTTTTTGGTATATATATATAGCCACTGTACTTATGTATCACTAGGTGATTTTCCCGTATTCATGCACGGGTATAAATATTTTTAAAGTAAATATATAATAATAATTGATTACTGTTTAGTTTTAATTTTAAATTAATTTATAACTTGTATGCATCATTTATATTAATAGTATTATATTACTTTACTTATACTGTAATTTTATATATATTTTATATCTAGTTGGTTTTGTTGTTTTTACGGTTGGTTTAGTTATCATTTGGATAAATTGGATTGCGTCTCTGAATTCAACTTTAATATTTTTAAAATATATTAATTTTTAATTAGTTATTTATTTGCATATGGTGGGTGTTGTCTTAGATATGTAAATATATTTTAGGAAAATTATGTATAACTTAAGATATATTGTGCTTAGAATGAATTAAAAATTAACTAAAGTGTCTTATTCCAAAATACGTAAATTAATATAACGATAATATTCTAAAGTCTCATGGATATATATAAATTTTCCAAAAGAACTAAAATTGTAAGAGTTGGTTAATATTTATCTTCATTTGTTAAAAAAAAGAGTTATCCTATGATCAATAGAAGGTTATATGCATAAATAACTGATACATTTTTGGAAGCTCATGAACACATATCAATATTTACAATAACTAAAGTATTTATAAATTCTAAATAACTTTATGCTTTAGATTTATTGAATGTAAACTGAAATTTATCTTAAATAATCTTAAATTGAGAATTCAGATTTGCTTTGATATTTTGATTATGGTTATATTTAGTTTCACAAACATATAAACATAAAAATTAAAAGAAAATTTAATATTAAAATTTTTTTTTTAATAATGATAAAATATCATATATCTAGCTCATTAGAACAATTATTTTGATCAAGCGATGTTTATTGTTAAATTTATTTTTAGTTTTTAATATCTCTTAAAAATAAGCACTATACAAAATTGTGATTGTATTTGAAAATAATATTATATAAATAAAATATAATTTATAGATAATTTTTTGTAATTGAAAGATATTATAGTCAACTAAATATATGAAATTTTTTATAATAATTGATTGATATAAATTATTTTATTACTCTAAAAGTATATTTTATGTTTCTTAAAAATATTTTTAAATATATTATTACTATTTTTTGAACTTTCCTTTTTATGAAATTATACTATAAATACCTATATTTTTATGTTATTTAAAAATATTTTTAAATGTATTATTACTATTTTGTCAACTTTCCTTTTTATGAAATCATATTATATATACATATATTTTTCGTTTTAAATTTGTTTTTTATGACTATAAAAATTTCCTTTTTATTACATATCTTTTTGAAAATTTTTGAAAAGTAAACTAAATAAATGAATTAATAATATTAATTTTTAACTATTTTTAATTCATTAAGGGTATCAATGTAATCAACCATCGTGATAATGAACGTGAGAGCGACACATAGGAAACTGACTTCTCAAATAATATTATAGAGATTAGCCCTTCAATTTAATTTTTACATAAATAAATTTATTAAATATACAATGTATATAATTACTTACGAGCAGTAGGGGAATCAACAAGTTCGATTTCATACACCATATGACATCCTCGGAGGTGAACACGAGCTGACGTGGCATTTCCACACAATCTAGACGAAATATCACGAAGCTCACTAACACATCTATGACATATCTCACTCGGATAATCTTCTCTGCATTGGAACCATCCCGAGACCGCGTGTTCGTTGTTACCAGCTAGAGTCTTAAAGAACTTGGCTCGAGAGGATTCTGATTCGAGTTTGCGTAAGAAAGAATAAAGAGCTTGTGCACGAAGAAAGAGATTATGATTCGAGTTAATTGGATTTTTTGTGGTTGTTGCTTGCTGGAGGATGTTTGTGTCTGATGAATCACATTGAGTGAAAACTAGAGTGTCGTAATCCAATTGGGATGTGTTAATGAGTGTGGGGAGAGAGATAAAGATTAGGGTTAGGGTTCGTGCGATATGAGAGATCGAGTGATCAACCATATTTGAGACATATATCCAGAGGCAAAGATTATAAGTTCATTGAGTATATATGTTGGTGAATAGGGATGGATGCTGTGGTAGTTTAGATATTGTCTACGTATATGTCAACTTGTCTATTATTTGTATCATTTGGTTGTGACTTGTGAGGTCAGATACACGTGAAAGTTAAAAAACACTCGACGTTTCAGGATCATAGCAGTTAAATATAATAAAACGTACTATTACCAGGTTTTGAATTCGGCTACAAATTTAAATCTCTATAGTTTGTAGATAGGGCAATGTTTTATTTTCTAGCCTAACCCTTATCTAATTTACTTCTTATAACTTGTACAGTCTGCAATTGCAAGTAACATATATATGTTCAGAAAGTATTAGATAGTAGTAAAACAATAAAACATTCCGCTCAACTAAATTGACCTACCAATGTGATCAAACCTATATACGTTTAATTGTGGACAGTTTTATAAGTTTTAGTCAACATTTAAACAGATAAATACTAAAATTAAATCGGTGTGATTGTGCCAATTGTTGTATGTGACACTACTGGACAAATCATTTTTATTTATTACATATCTGGTTACCACCAACACCATCTGGACTTTTAATTATTTTGAATTTTCCTAAGAAAAAATAAACTAAAAAAAAGAGAGGAGTGAATCTAGAAGATTGGTGATAAAAGGATATGGTATAAAAGAACTACAATTTCTTCAAGCCGAACCAAAGCTAGTAAAAGAGCCAAGCAAGGATACAATGTATACAAGAAACAAGTTGCTCAAAAAAGGAAAGGATATGTATACAAAAACCCTCCTAAAATTTCTTCATTAACCAAAACTTACAAAAGAAAATATGAGCCTGAAAATAACAGAACCTATTCTCTCGTGAATACCGTTAATTCGTTATGACAGAAGATTCTTCTCTTTCGCCAGACAGATCTTCTGTTTTTTTTTTCATTACAACAAAAAAAAGTCAAAACTCTTAAAAAGCAAAGAGTCAAAGAGTCCTCAAAATCTCCAGCTTTCATAACTAATCTTCCGTTAGAAAAACAGTAAGTTAAAAAAAAAAAACCAACGGTCATGTTCTTATCATGTCTAAAAACAACCAGCTTCTCCCTAATCTCACGCTTCTTCTCTCCTTCCTTTTTATTCTCCTTCTCAATCTCTTCACAACTCGATTCGTATAATCATTCAAGAGAGACGAGTGAAACACAAGAAAGGTTTTTAAACTTTCTTGACTCCCACGCTTCTCGCGAAAGATTAAACGAATCCATTTAGGTTTTTTAGAACACACAACAACAACAACAACAACAACAACAAAAACATGGTTCGGCTCAAATTCGCATGTCCTGTCCTCGAAATAAACTTAATCTCAGCACAAGACCTAGCCCCTATCTCAAGAAACATGAAAACCTACTCCGTAGCATGGATCAACACCGACCCCATGAGAAAACTCACAACACGTGTCGACCAAGCAAACCGAGCTAACCCTATCTGGAACGAGAAGTTCGTGTTCCGCGTCAACGACAAGATCCTCGACGTCGACGCATCAGCTATCGTCATCGAGATTTACGCGGCCGCTTGGGCTAAAGACGCTCTCGTAGGGACCGTTAACGTTCTCCTAAGCGATCTCTTCGCTCCTTGGTCTGGCTTCGGCGACGGCGACGACGGTGGAGGCGGGAACAACAACATGAGGCTCGTGACGCTTCAGATACGTCGTCCTTCCGGGAGGCTACAAGGTTTTTTACGTTTAGGCGTGTCGCTTCTCGACGGTGGTCAACGGAGTATGCCTTTGTCTGTTGAAGTTTTCGATGGAAGTCGGAGAGATAGTAATAGAGAAGGGGGGAAGATGATGCATCGTCGTACGAATAGTGATCAGACGGATTTAACTACGTCTACTAATGATTACGGTGTGAAAACAGGAGTTGTTACAGGAGGTGGTGGTAGTGGTGGTGGAGGAGGAGGTGGTGGGGTTGATAGTATGGTGAATGGTTCGCTTTGTAGCTCAGATATTGGACCATCTGCGTCTGTGGTTGCGGCTGCGATTGCTCAGGGGCTTTATAATAGACAGAAAACAACGGTGAAAGCGGGTGCGGGGAAGGAGGACGCGAGTTCGATTCTTGAAGGGAAGACTGAAGGGATTGAGCATAGAGTTGAGAGGTGGAGAGCGGAGAAAACGGTTGGGGCGGTTGCGGCGGGATCGAGTGATGAGTCTAGTGGGAAAGGAGGGGGGAGGAGGCAGAGGAGGAGAAGGAGGAGGAGAAAGGAGAAGCAACGGAGGAGAAATGGTGAAGGTAGGAAAGGGTTGTTTTCATGTTTTGGTAATGTTTTTGGATGTGAGATTTCGATTACTTGTGGCGGTGGAAGCGGTGGAGATGGAGACAGCACGAAGAAGAAGTATAATAAGAATAAAGTAGTGAATCTTAGTGCTGTAGATGAAACGTTTAGTCATTCCGCGACTTGAGAACAAACAAACAAAAAAGAGTGTATAATTTTCTTTTCCTTTTGATGGGCTAAACTGTTAAAAAAGGTATGAGTTGAAAACGTATGAATAAAACTTCCTTCACATTCCTATTTGATTTAACTGAACAGCTTCGTAGAATAGAATCTCTGGCCGAACCTTTCTTTCTTCACAGAATCTGACTACATTCTTCCAGCTACCAACAGCCTGTGATCATCACCACACATATCAATAGTTGTCTAAGTTCACATTTCAACTAGAGAAAGACAAATTCAAATGTTTCTGTCTTACCTTTTTGGCTAAAGCTTCATGTCTGAAACTGACCCACCGGTTCTTTTTAAAAGCTAGGCAGATGTATTCTTCTTCTTCACCACAACCAACCTGCATTTCACATTCTGAGACTGTAACCAAGAACATAGAGGAAACAACAGGACAAACATATGTAACGTTGTTTTCTGATTTTTACCATTGACACAAGCCGGAACTTTGTGTTTGGTTCCAAGCCTTCGTATAGCCTACTGACATCTATCTCCCACTCCAAAGCTTTTGTTGTTTCATGAATTTCCTTTTCAGTTTCCTTCTTCTCCCATATCAACACTAATGTTGCACACCAACAAAACACCCAAAATTGTTTTATCATATAGCTTATAATAAATCAAATGAGTTGATAAGATCACAAGTTACCTATTATGAAAATAGGCGGGCATCTACTTATAATGTGATGAACAAAGTTTGCCTTTCCACAACCTTCACATAACATTTTATCTTCCATGCGGATCAACTTAAGGATGTCCACAAGCTTCATATTCCCAAAAGCACACTGTATATATACAACCACAGAAGCAATTTTCTAAGAGGTTATACTACCAGTTTCTGTAGGAAATACAAAGAGGTATATAAATGAAACATACCTTCAAGTCTCTGACTGAATCTGCAGCTATAACAAGGCCATAAGAACTTTGCTCTGGATAATTTGGGTTCGTTCTGCACTTGCTACAACTCATTCTTTCATATTCTTCCAATGTAAAAAGATGCGTTACGATGCTTTCTCTATCTGGAGTTTTCCAGCTAGGCCAAAACTCAAGGATGGATACGAGTAGCTCAGCAGCATCCCTTGACTGAAATGAGAAAAAAAATCAGAATGATAATTAACACAACAGTCAATAAACATAGAAACTTATAGTCAATCTGCACAAACCATTGCATGAACTTCATCTAGGGAAGTAAGTAAGTTTCCCAGGAGGTAACTGTAGATTCCGTCTCCTTTTATCTCCTTCCAGGCAAAAGCGGCAAAGAAATCTCGTAATGCATAAGGAACTTGTCCTTCCTGGTTGTCAGCAAATTGACACCGATTGCGCACCAGATACTCTTTAAGAACCTTAATGTTACAAAGTGCCTGTAGTAGCAAGCACAATATGTAGAAGAATAAGGAAGTGAAGAGAACAAACGCAAATAGAGAACGCAAATAGTGAATCAGGAAGAGAGTTTAGATTTAGAATGTTATGTTTGTTGGTTCTTGCTTTACCTTCAGTGTCATGTCAAGAGCTAAATTGCCTCTGGTTGTAACTGCAACATGTGGTGACTCCATCTGTTTCGACAGTAAATCTTCTCCGAGCATATTTTGCATATCTAGAAGATGGCAAAGAAATAAAGATTAAACATCTCAAAACAAAGTAGTTTAGAAGATTCGTCAATTGAGAAGCTTTTTTACAATTAGAGTCACCTTTAGCAGCTTCCTCTTGATTGTCGATGTTGGCTGAAATATCCAATGGACCCCGTTCACCTTTAGCAGCTTCCTCTTGATCTTCTGGTTCTATATAGTCTTCTTCCACGGGTTTTAGTGGTGGAGAAGACTCACTAAACATTTGTAAGAAACACGTTGTACTCAGCGAAAACACTCAAAAAATTTATCAACTCGTGAAACCAAAATTTTCATCTTGAGAGGAGAGGTATTTACGGTTCGACATTCTGCTCAATATCAGTAGACGTGCTCGTTGAAGTTCCCTGTTAAGCCATGAAGACCATTCATCATTCTTACACCTGAATAACCGAAAAGTCAGAGAAGCAAATAACATAATATAAATCTTCAACAACCTTGATGATTCCTCGTTTCTTCTTCTTCTTTGACCCTGATTTCTTCTCCTTCTGTTTTTTTTCCATGGATAAAAGATCTGCTTCTGCTGCAGCTGCCTTGGCTTTGGCGTCCAGTCCATATAACTCTTCCTAGAAGAAGAGACATAAACCACAATATTTAGTGCATACAAAGAAAAAACCAGACTGATGATGAAAAGTCCATCTAAAAGAACCAAAGTTTCAAAGCCAACCCTCATTAATCGTTTGAGCAAGTTACGGATATAAGACCGGTAGTCAAAAGCAGAAAGCCTGGTGAGCTCGTTTAGCAAACTAATCCTTGAATTTTCAATCAGTAAAATCTTTGAATCTACTAGTAGAACCTGCAAGTCAATAGATAACCTTACGATAGCAATTTACTTATGTTATTAACCGTTAATTAAAACTCAGATCAGGAACAAACCTTGTTGGTGGCCGCAGATTGCAGACGGTCTATGGACTCTAACACCGTTTCATCACTGAGATCTTGAAGCCCATGTATAAGATCCAAGGAAGCTTCTAGATCGTCGAAATCAATTGTGGGACGCGATTCTCCTTTGAGAATATCCTGTACTGCAAACACGAAATGACTTCCGTTGGGAGGATCTCCATCGTCTGTTTTTAACTCTTCACACTTGTCACCTAGAAGAGATGCATATAGGACGTCCCCTTCACCTTCCGGAGCAGCCCTTCTCCTTTCATCTTCGCTCGTACACAAGTTTTTGGCGTCAGTAAGAACTTTCAAATAACACAACTTATCCATCTTCCTTACATATTTGGTTCCCCAATCCCTACAGGTGTAGTGAATGGCTCTCAGAATAGCCACAATTATATCAAGCTTGTGTGCCCTGACAGACATGGGAAACTCAAAGCTCCCATCTATCGGAGGATGGTCAAGTAACCAGGTTATGATATCGTCGCCCTGAGGTTGTGTCTTGGCGTAGTAGTCATACTTACAAACATCTATTGTCCCTTCATCCTCGAATGGATCAATCTCCCCTCTCAGCAGTCTTCTATCCAGGAGCATAGACGAAAACTCATCGTCAAACTCTATCTTTTCTTTAACTCTAGTACGACCACATAAACTCTCCACTGCTCTGCAAACCAGATTCGTACCATCATCCCTTTCAAACTTGAAGAGTTTGAGAAGATCTAGAATTCGTTTGAGTTCATGACAGTCCCAAAAGCAGATACGCTGAGGTTTTCCCACTAGGCCACACTCGGTTGTAAGAGACTCGGGAACTTCATATTGTGCAAGAATCGGAAACCCCAGCATCCATTCTACAGTGCTAAAAGGAAGAGCCTTGCGCTCTAAAAGTGACACAAGAAGAAAGTGGATTTCCTTGAGTAACTTACTGCGCTCTTCATCTGCAGCTAAAGGCCAGTCCTTAGTCCATCCCTTCTCATATACAAACTCCTTCACAAACTCGAGCCGAGTCTTGATCATTTCAGCGGCAGCTACTGCATCCACTGGTTCCCAACCTCCAACCGTTATCATACCAGCCCACGCTTCATTTACCATCTCAGGCGTATGATTTCTCGTAGCAAATTTAAATTTCGCACCATGTTCTTGTTCAAGATGATTCCTGAACTTCTTAACATAAAAGAATTTCTGTGAGCAACTTCGACACATCCAGAATCTCCATTTCTTGTTTGTCCTTGTAGAATCCAGAACTTCCTCCAAAGCGACTTTCCCCTCTTCGCTATATAATCTCTCAACATAACCTCTAAGCTTCGAAATGCTTACTTTCATAAAGTTCTTTTTAGCCTCAACACTCATACTCGCCCAATATGACCTCAATCTTTTACTTGCAGCGTCATTGGAGTCACTCCTAATCTTGTCCCGAGCTTCTTTAGACTCCACAAGTGCTGGCACAGAGATCATCCCAGTACAACCACGGTAGATCCTTAACGCAGCCTTATTCAGTATATTCTCAAGCGTATCTTTTGTCACTAGGTCGGCCGGGTCTAATTCACCAGAAGATTCCAAAAGAGATAAACTTACTTTTGCGTCTTTCAGAGCCTTCCTGTAATACAATTCCGAATCAAGCTGCTTGGCCATCTCGAACAATGCACCTGGAGAGAAGGCGTTTACCCCAAAATCTTGAATAAAAGGTTCCACACAACCCAACAAAAACGTGAACTTCACGTCACTGTTCTTTGCTCTCTGCGCTAGATGATACAAGATGGAACCTTGAAGGAAAGGAATCATTCCTGGAACCCCATCTTTCCCGCGCCTCGAGTACGCATCTTCGATTACCTCCAAGGCCTTGATGTGGTTTCCTTGACCGAAGTGATCTTTTGCGAGATCGTGGAGTCGCTTATCCTCCTCAGCGTTTTGGAAGAAGGAAGAATCCATGGTGGAGAAGAAGAGAGTACCACCAGTAACAATTCTCTCTCAAAGGTTCCTTGCGATTCTTCTTGCTTCAGGTACAAGGTAACTTTCTTTGCGAGGGAAAACAATATAACAGCAAAAGGTTGAACCTTTCTTTCTTTAACATCACGTGAGACTCACGTGACAATAGAGACGAACGAGCAGGGAACCACGTGGCGTCTTTTCGAACATCACTTCTCTTGATATATCCATTGGGGACTTTTATCGAGCAGGTTGTGTGCATTCCCCATTTGGAGAAAATCACGACAACGCTTCGGTTTAATTGCATCTTTTCGAAATTAACAGTAAACAAAATCACCCAAACGTTGTGTAAAACGTTGAATCATTGAGTGATTGAGAGCTTTGAGAGTAGGAGTAGAATGGTTTGATTTTGATTTTTTTTTTGTTTTTTTTCGCGGAATAAAAGAGTGAGCAAAATTAATGTAATAAGAAGAAGACGATCGGTTTTCCTCAAACCAGAAATCTTAACCGTTTTCAACCGTCCGTTTAGTGTTATAATTAATGTTGGTACGGTAGAAAACAAATAATTGAATTCGGTTTTGATTAATCCGGTTCAATTCTATTGCATCTTCCCGAAATTAACAGTGAACTAAAGACCAAATATTCTGTTAATCGTTGAATCCTGAATTTAAATGGTTTTATTTTGATTTTGTTATATTCTCCCGGAATAAAAAAGTGAGCAAATCAATGTTAAAAAAAGAAGACGAAAATGATCGGTTTGCCACAAACCATAAGACCTTAACCGTCATGTACCGTCCTCTTTAGTATTATAATTATATTGGTACAATAAAAGAAAACAGATCATTGATATTCGGTTTAGATTATCCGGTTCAACATTGTGCTATAATTAAAAACCTGAACCGCTCGGCGCTCTCTCTCTCTCTCTCTCTATCTTGTTCTGATAAACCTCTCTCGAAATTCACTGTTCACTCTCATCGTCAATTACAGTTCCAAATTCCGGCGACGCCGAAGGAATTAATCAAAATCAAATGTCATCCTTCCGTCATTAAATCTCACTTCGATGGGTTTCATTCTCACACAGTTCTCTCCGCTATCTCTCACCCCAGGTCTAGCGTCGTTAAATCCCAGGTATCGGGTCAAAACCCGAAAACTCGGGTCTAGAGAATCCAATCCATCTCGTAAAATCGTTCCCCTTAGAGGCTGTTTAGGTTTCCCCCGCGTACATAGGAGTTTCGCGAGCTCGAATCACTCTAAAGACGAAAGCAAAGTTCTTTCAGAGACGAGAGAGAGCGTAATACAGTTTGTATCCAAACCATTAGTTTACGCCTTGTTTTGTATCGCAATTGGATTCTCACCGGTTAAGTCATTTCAAGGTCAAGCTTTAGCTGTGCCTTATCTCAGTGATGTGATATGGAAGAGAAAGAAAGAGACTTTGAGAGAGAAAGAGTTGGTTTTGAAGACGATTGATCATGAGTTCTCTGGTTTTACTCAGAGACTGTTGGAGAAGGTTTCGGTTTTGGTCAAGAGTGTTGAGAAGGTGAGGAAGGGAGATGGAGATGTTGTTGAAGTGGGGAAGGCTTTGGATGGGGTGAAAGTGGAGAAGGAGAGGTTGGAGAAGGAGATAATGAGTGGGTTGTATAGTGATATGAGGAGGTTTAGGAGAGAGAGAGGTGTGTTGATGGAACGAGCTGATGGGATTGTGGAAGAGGTTTTGAGGTTGAAGAAAAAGAGTGAGAGGCTGTTGGGGAAAGGTGATAGGGAGAGAGTGGGGAAGTTGGAGGAGAGTGTGGATGTAATGGAGAGTGAGTACAATAAGATATGGGAGAGAATAGATGAGATTGATGATACTGTTTTGAAGAGAGAGACAACGACTTTGAGTTTTGGGGTTAGGGAGCTTATTTTCATTGAAAGAGAGTGTGTGGAGTTGGTTAAGAGCTTCAACCGAGAAATGAAGCAAAAGAGTTTGGAGAGGTAATGATATGGTGATGGTAAAAGGCACTTCTAGATTTCCAATATTCTTGTTTATATTAGTACGCCTAGTTTTAAGTATATCTTTTGTTGGCTATTCTGTGTCTTTATCATGCATATGCTTTTTTTTTTCCCTCTGAAAAAGTGTTTCAGGTTACACTTACACAATCAATTGATTTTCTTTTTGTAGTATTCCTGAAAGCTCTGTTACGAAACTCCCAAGAGATGAGATTAAGCAGGAGTTACTGAACGCTCAAAGAAAGCATTTGGAACGAATGATTCTGCCTAATGTTTTGGAACTAGAGGAGGTTGATCCCTTGTTCGATCATGATTCAGTGGATTTTTCTCTACGCATCAAAAAACGCCTTGAGGAATCGAAAAAGCTGCAGAAAGATCTTCAGGATCGTATCAGAGGACGCATGAAAAAGTTTGGTGAAGAAAAGCGTTTTGTGCTAAAAACTCCAGAAGATGAAGTTGTCAAGGGATTTCCTGAAGCTGAGGTGAAATGGATGTTTGGAGAGAAGGAGGTGGTTGTTCCGAAAGCTATCCAGCTCCATCTACGCCATGGTTGGAAAAAGTGGCAGGACGAAGCAAAGGCAGATTTGAAACAGAGACTTTTAGAAGATGTTGATTTTGGTAAACAATATATTGCGCAGAGACAGGTAATTTTTCCTTAGGATATGAAAATTCACTAGACAACAATCTTTCTATTTTTCATGGTAGATAAATCACGATCCTGGTATTGTGAGTTAGCATGGGTAACAAATAGATTGGTATCTTTTGGTGATGTAAATCTCAAGATTGCCTTGGTTTTGGTTGATTATGTTGTTTTTTTATTGAAGACAGCAAGTTTATGTGTTATCTTATTAACAAGCTATCAGGTAAATTAGTTTACTTGACCAAGCAAGAAGCACTTTTTCTGGTTTACACCATTGGTTGAATCTTTTTACTGTTTAATCTTCGTGGAACTGAGATGATAGCTGTAACACTTAAGATGAGACAGTTTTAGTAGTAACTTGTTGTAAAGCTTATGTACATCTGTGTGTTTTGCAGAACTTATTTGGACATTTATTGATCACTCACCAGTTAGTTACTGATATGTTTTGTTTTCTCCTGAAGGAACAAGTTCTCCTGGATCGAGATAGAGTTGTTTCAAAGACTTGGTATAATGAAGACAAAGATAGGTGGGAGATGGACCATATGGCTGTTCCATATGCAGTTTCAAGGAAGCTGATTGACAGTGCCAGGATTAGGCATGATTATGGTGCGATGTATGTTGCACTGAAAGGAGATGACAAGGAGTACTACGTTGACCTAAAGGTATACGAATTAAAGTCCTAATTTATTTAATAAGTTTCTAATTTTATGCTTCTAACTCTATTCTATGGTCGTAGGAATATGAGATGCAGTTTGAGAAATTTGGAGGGTTTGATACTCTGTACCTCAAAATGCTTGCTTCTGGAATCCCAACAACTGTTCATCTGATGTGGATACCCATGTCAGAGCTAAGTCTCCATCAACAGTTTCTGTTGTTTACAAGGGTAGTTTCTCGAGCCTTTACTGCATTGAGGAAGACTTCGCTTGTATCACAGGCAAAAGACATTTTACTGGAGAGAATAAGAAATATAAACGATGACATTATGATGGCGATCGTTTTTCCAGTTCTTGAATTTATCATTCCTTACCAGGTATTACTTTACTCTCTCGGAAATATTCTGGTTTCCTGTTTCCATGAGTTCCTCTAATAATTTTTTACTTTTTCTTACACAGCTAAGGCTGCGTCTGGGAATGGCTTGGCCGGAAGAAATAGAACAGTCTGTTGGCACGACATGGTACTTACAATGGCAGTCTGAGGCAGAGATGAACTTCAGGTCCCGCAATACAGAAGATTTTAAGTGGTTCGTCTGGTTTCTAATTCGAAGTTTCGTGTACGGGTATGTTGTGTATCATGTTTTCCGCTATCTGAAAAGAAAGATTCCAAGAGTTCTTGGCTATGGACCCTTCCGTCGAGATCCGAATGTGCGGAAATTTTGGAGAGTGGTATGTAACTTTCCTTTTTCCGTATACTTCTCTTCCTAACGCTCTCAATCTTTAGTGAGCAGTAGCATCGTAGCTAGTATTACACCAAGTATGCTTGTTGGTCACTCAGGTTCGTGACACTAACAATTAATTACCAAACTCTGTTTTTTGTTTTTTTTTTTTTGCAGAAATCATATTTTACTTTTAGAAAAAGGAGAATTAAGCAAAAGAGAAGGGCTGGAGTCGACCCTATAAAAACTGCATTCGACAGAATGAAGAGAGTGAAAAACCCACCAATCCCGTTAAAAAACTTTGCTAGCATTGAGTCTATGAGAGAAGAAATCAACGAGGTTGTGGCGTTTTTACAGAATCCGAAGGCATTTCAGGAGATGGGTGCCCGTGCACCACGGGTATGTTGCTTTATGGTTGTGTAAAACAGTGTCCAATTTTAAGCAGCATTAATTCTTAGGAAGTGCTTATGTACATTACAGGGAGTTCTTATTGTTGGTGAGAGAGGAACGGGAAAAACGTCACTGGCGCTAGCTATAGCAGCCGAAGCAAGAGTGCCTGTTGTTAATGTTGAAGCTCAAGAGTTGGAGGCTGGACTATGGGTTGGCCAAAGTGCCGCGAATGTCAGGGAACTCTTTCAAACTGCAAGAGACTTGGTTAGCTGCTGTGCCCCATGTTGTTTTGTTGATTCATTATTTTCATCGATATTAATTTTCTCTCATGATAATCAGGTTCAAGTCTTATGTAACAGCAGTTTCATGCCGTCTATGTTCTGATGTTTGTGTTGTTATTTCTAGGCACCTGTTATCATATTTGTGGAGGATTTTGACCTCTTTGCTGGTGTACGTGGGAAGCTCATACATACTAAACAGCAAGATCATGAATCTTTCATTAATCAGCTTCTTGTTGAACTTGATGGGTAAGAGCTAATTTCTGTGTTGTTTGAAAAATTAAGACCAGAGTTATAGTGTCGCCGTTAGCACAATAAGAATTGGTGCATTAGAAATCTCTGTAGCTTCTCTTTTCTCCACTTAATAATTTATAATTATGCAGATTTGAGAAGCAGGATGGCGTAGTTTTGATGGCTACTACCCGAAATCATAAGCAGATTGATGAAGCGTTAAGAAGGCCGGGTCGTATGGATAGAATATTCCATCTTCAGAGTCCAACTGAAATGGAAAGGGAGCGGATTCTACAAAATGCTGCAGAAGAAACCATGGACAGAGAACTCATTGATCTGGTGGATTGGCGTAAGGTGATCTTGCAAAGTTGTTTATATATGCTATCGATTGTATATGTTTTTTCTACTTATTATTTTATTCTGCACCTTCATTTGTTTCGCTTGTGAGTGTTCTATCACGTCATGTTTATTCCTTTTTACTCTTTCTATATCTCGTCGTATTTCTGTATTTTTTGTTTCCACTGTCTTGGTTTGTTAATAGTACATCGTTTCAGGTTTCGGAGAAGACATCTCTATTACGACCGATAGAACTGAAACTTGTTCCAATGGCTCTCGAAAGTAGTGCCTTCAGGAGCAAATTTCTGGACACAGATGAACTTCTGAGCTACGTTAGCTGGTTTGCGGTAAACATCCTTTCATCATCTTATCCTTTTGTCAAACCATTTTTTGATGATTTCCGAGCTTGGTTTCATCAGGTGATTCCTTTTTCTTTTCTGACAGACGTTTAGCCATATAGTGCCCCGATGGTTGCGGAAAACCAAAGTTGCCAATAAAATGGGCAAAATGCTTGTTAATCATCTTGGGCTCAACTTAACCAAAGAAGATTTGGAGAATGTGGTTGATCTGATGGAACCATATGGACAGATAAGCAATGGAATAGAACTTTTGAATCCACCTGTTGATTGGACGAGAGAGACAAAGTTCCCACACGCCGTCTGGGCTGCTGGTCGTGCTCTGATCGCACTTCTAATACCAAACTTCGATGTTGTAGATAATCTGTGGCTTGAGCCTACTTCCTGGGAAGGAATCGGGTGCACAAAGATCACCAAAGTCACAACTGGTGGCTCTGCAAGTGGGAATACGGAATCAAGATCATATCTTGAGAAGAAGCTCGTTTTCTGCTTTGGATCTCACATTGCATCTCAAATGCTTCTTCCTCCTGGAGAAGAAAATTTTCTTTCGTCCTCAGAAATAACACAAGCGCAAGAGGTAAACTCTTTCTACTCTTTTGCACCAACCTGTTGTCTAAATACTTACTGTTTCGTCATGCACCACAGATTGCAACACGCATGGTGCTACAGTATGGCTGGGGACCCGATGACAGTCCTGCAGTCTACTATGCCACTAACGCGGTAAACGTCTTTCTTATATTCCACATTAGTATTTTCCAAGATTAGTTGTCTGAAACCATTGAACCAAGATGCTATATATAACTTGCATTCAGTTTCCGTTCATTTTGATGCCTCATCTCATTTGAATCCTGATTGACTTTACTCTTTTTTTTTTTTTGGTTTATTCGATTTACTGGGGCAGGTATCAGCTTTGAGTATGGGAAACCATCACGAATACGAAATGGCCGGTAAAGTCGAAAAGGTTTGTTTTGCTCTCTAGTTTCCAATACGTTCATAACTACTGCTGCGCCTTTACTCTTTAACAGTTTTCTTCCAGCTTGGCTTTTCCGTTGGTTAAAGCACTGTCCTAACTGTAGAACTTATCTAATTTCATTTTATTCCTCTACAGATTTATGACTTAGCGTACGAAAAGGCAAAGGAAATGCTCCTCAGAAATCGCCGTGTCCTTGAGAAAATCACTGACGAGCTCCTCGAATTTGAGATATTGACCCATAAGGTAAAATCTTCATGATGTTCGAACCATTGTGCAAATGAAATATAGAGTGAAGGAGATGTTCCACACAACCTCTGCATAAAAAATCTTAACGTGTTGGTTTCTTCGCTTGGTTTGCAGGATCTAGAAAGACTTGTTAGTGAGAATGGAGGGATACGGGAGAAGGAACCTTTCTTTCTCTCCGGAACCAATTACAACGAGGCAAGTATTACTACCATCAATATACCTTATCATTATCGAACAAAAAAAAACAGACTGCATTAAAAATCTGAAAACCTTGAACCATTTGTATAGACAACAGAGTTACATTGCTTTATTTAGAAATGGAATGTCATATAGTAAAAAACTTGCATTGCATGAACTTCACTAAATTCACCAGCACATCGAAAACCCTTTCAGAAGTAGTGATTCAAGTTCAAGAAAAGATATCTTCTTTCTACTTACATCTCTTGTATGGTTTGATTTACTACTGTTGCAGCCATTGTCAAGGAGCTTCCTTGATGCCGGAGATTCGTCAGAAACTGTGCTTCTTAGTTCACCAACCTAAAGACCATTGGAGACAATAGTTTGATGATAGATTTTTCTCTGCAGTAAATTTGTTGTGGATTGTAAGTGTTGTTCTTTTCTTGACCAGATGAGCCACTTGAGACTAGTTTAGTCTGAGAGTTGATAATTCATTTTTGAAACTGAAAGTTTTCTTGTCCTGATCTCTTATTATTCTTGGGACATGTCTGTTATTGTTCTTACTGCTTGCCAGTGTAACAATATAGTTATCACTGCTTCCAAACACTGTAAATCCAAATCAGAGATGAAGCTGTCTGGTCCTCTGAATCGATGTCGTTCTAAGAATTACAGTTTAAACGTATCCTTTATTTGGTGGACAGTACATGTTAACGTAGGCATAAAAATGATGATTAGCTAAACACTTAGCTATGGCGAATCCGCGCCAGTCCTATCCTTATTCATCAGCGTTTAGCCGTTGGCTTTAGCTGCAGATGTTCTGCGAATTGCGAGATTGATCGCTTGCGTGTGCGGCGCTTCTCCCGTATGTTGATCTAGACAAGCGATTTGAGATTCCTTCAGACAAGAATGTTCGTCCAAAGCATCAGTTCAGGAGAAGATATGCTAGTCAGCGGTGGAGAGTTAAGGAGAAGCCATTGGTTTTGAGGATGCTCATTGGTACGTTCCCCATTTTGAGTTCATGGACCTAAAGGTTAGCTTTCATTCATCTTGGAACTTAAAGAGTACATATCTTACTTGTAATAACAATGGATATTCTGGGAGTTGAGCATATATGCCTGTCAGAGATTTTTGTTTCTATAAATACAAAAAGTGTAATGGTTCTTATTTGTACAGCCTAAAGTAGCATCTTAATTGTCTTCTTTAATCAGCACCAATAGTTGATGATGGAGTACCAGATGCTGCTACTGAAATTTAGTATGTTAGATTTAGGAGTGCATCCTCTTCCTACTTTATCTAGTCAGGAAGCAATACTGCTAGAATATATGCTTCCTAGCATGTTATATTATATCATTTCGATGTGTTTGGTAGTGATAGTAAGTTAGTAACTAATGGCCTCATGATAAGAATCTTTGATAATGATCGTTTAGGAATAAAGAACAATATCAGTTTATTGGGAATCCTTTAGTTAGCAAGTTTCATTAGCACGAATCTGGAACTCTCATCTGTGATGGAGAAAGGGTACAATGAACTGTTACCCATGAGATTAGCTTTTTGATTACTTCAAATAACTTTCAGAAGCTTAGGATACATTTCTGCTAGAATATATGTTTTCCCTTGCCTTAGTCTCATTGAGATTATAGTTCTGACAAACAAAGAAGTCGCATTTGAAATCATAACTTTAGGAGGAGCTTTGTACATATCTTAAGCATTGTCTTATTGGTTTGTCTTCTATACTTTATCGTCTGAATACAGAATCTTATATGCTTCCTAGTGATAAAGACTAACCCAGTACTAGATTGTAAGTAGGAAAAGTTAAGTAGGAGGATCGAACTTGTAATGTTTGTCGATGAAAAGAGATACTTCCCAAGTGCAGCTAAGTCCCTTGGGGATGGTCACAAGGTCTCCTGCACCAAACTCTACAAACTCTGATGAACCTTTTGGATACACCTTCACTTTTCCCTTCACCAAATAGCATGTCTCTCTTTCTTCAAATACTAATGCGTACTTCCCTGGCTGACAAGACCATCTATAGAGATTCATGATGTTATTAACCAGTAAGATGAGGGGTAGAAACATAGGATGTGCTTGTTTGATACTTACTTAGGCCATGACATGACTCCAAGTTCAGATAACTTTATGCTCGAAGGGTTGTGCTCGATTACTATATTCATTCTGGAAGAGATTCAACAATGTTTCAGTGCTATTTAGACAGAACAGAGATAAGGAAGAAAGTAGATTTTGTGAGATGTATGTATATGGTGAAGGACATAGTAAGTTGGTCTGCATGTGTATATATATAAACAGGTATGAATAAAGTGACTTCTTCCTTTTCTCCCTTCCTATTGAAAGGGATAATAGCAAAGAGGAATCTTTAAAGAAGCAGTTTTGACCCAGAATGAATACAAAACAAAGTCAATGGATACATCCATTAAGCTATCTTTCTTTAGATAGTCATTCTAGAAGTATATAATATTACAAAATGAAGACCAAGTCTTCCAACCACATGGACCCCGTCTGTTTTTGTCCCTGCCTCCTTTATGCTTTTGTTTTTCACTTTCTAACGAGTTACAGAATTCTCCTATGCAGAGACTACATTGGTGTAGCTTGAGATCTTCTCAACAACTAGTCATAGATGATTCTTCTATGCAGACTGTTATTCATATCTTTGGAGACTTTGTTATATGGTTTTATTTATTTAGTTTCGAGAAAGTTTGACCGATTCTTTAGTTGGGAAGATACGTGATAAATGGGGACATTGATATGTGTAGCCCACCTCTAGTTTGGCTGCTTCCCCAACTGGCTCTGTTTGTTTCTATGTCATTGCATGCATGTGCGGATTAGTACTTTTGTTTATATACTTCTTACTATATTTTATATGCATAGATTCACATGTTTAGAGAGATTCATATCTTTTGCATGCTAGTGTATGCAATTTTCTGAATATGAACAAGTGGAAAAACAGTGGAAGTTTGGTTCATGATAAAAACAAGATCTCTCTCCACGTGAACACCCTAATCAATTTGGAAAACAGTGTCCTGCTATGATTTGGTCTCTGATCATTTAACCTTTGTTCTGGTTACTTGTCGCCTTTTTTAATCTCATAAGGTAGTTTTTACAGAGTGACTTGGTGTTTGTTGAGATTCAAGATAGAAACATAACACAAATGTCGATATTAGTAACTAACTTGGAAGCTTATACATCAAAATTCTCGTGGCGTTTAGGTACCTATGAAAGTTGTTGAGGCAGTTTTTTCAAACAAAGCTCAGTGCTCTGCAGAATCAAGAACATGAAACATCAGGTCCAAGTAGAAGTTACCATTGAGTCCACGAACATCAAGTTTTCTTTATCGGGTTTAAACCATTCGGTTAATGGGCTTGTCTAAAAATCTGCCTTGGGCTGGACTGTATTTTTTTCTTTATTTCTTTTATTTGTTAAGAGAATTAATATCTGAAATATGGGATATCATTTAATTTTACTGTATAGCTTTCAAATGAATATTTGACCAAAAAAAGAAAAAAAGCTTTCAAGAATACATTGATATTTTTTACCTTTAGGTTAAATAAAGAAGTAATAAATAGCCGGAAAAAGTTGGTTTGAAATGACATCTACCCTTTTTTATGTTTTATTCAGAAATCATATTACATGATGCAGTTGGACTGGGTACCTTCATGATGTTAATTTAAGATGTGTGAGCTGGTCGAGTTGGTAGATCTTTTAATTTCACTTATAGCTCTCTCTCCAATTATTTTCTTATATAGAAAAAAATCATATAAAAAAACAAGACAAAGCAATAGTTTATTTTTGAATCATTTATTTACAGAAGTTGTGAATTTTCTTCTGATGTATACGTTTTCTCTTAACCCAATTTTTTCATTTTTCTGCAATAAAAACTTGAGACAAGCGTAAGGTGTAAATATGTGATTAATTAACAAAGGTAGTGTAATGTGAGATTTGTTCTTTTACCAGTTTAATGGATACATCAAATGGTTAAAATATTTACCGAATTATTAAAGACATATAAGCATCATTTCGAGAAAAGGAATTACAGACAAAAAAAAAAATAGAACAATACTTGAACAATACACAAAGATTGTTTTAAGAAGCATGGGATTGAACACGACCCATTCCATTCACATTAATAATGACTTTAATCGTTACTAGATCATAACCCGCCCGACTGATCGGGTATTTGTTTTTATGGTATATATAACATTTCAAAATTACAATTTAGTGGTGCCAATTTTACTAAGTAATAGTATATTGTATAAATATTGTATTTCATTATTGTATTGTGTAACAGGGGCGTCTTAAAATATTTTGACCCGTAAACATTTTAGTAATATTTTATAAAGTTTTTTGACTAAATTTGGTGTAAAGTTATATACTAAATAATTTAGTCAAATTTTTAATTTAATTTTTTAATGAAGAATTGGAAGGCTGGTATATCACTGTTAAAAACTTATAAGAATAGTCAATATAAATTATATAAATAAAATATATATTATTCTTGATTTATTCTAAATACATTTAAAACATGAATACATATATGTATAAATAATTTTTAGAAGTAAAATAATATCAATGATAGAAAATCCAAAAACAATAATAATGGTACAATGGACCGCAATAATCTTTAGTATAATAAATAAGCCCATTAAGTTTGTATGATATCTATGTTTCCAATCAAACTTTTAAAATTTTCTTATTCATGTTTCCAAACACTTTATTTTTGTACTTCAGCTTTAATAGTATAGATGTACACTTTTCCAGAATGCTTTATTTATATTTTTACTATAATCGTACTTTTAATATGACTACATTTTTAATTATGAGATGTATTTGGTTGAAGGAAACCACATCAGGTTATTGTAAAGCTTATTTATTATTATCTAGATTGCAAGTATCTACCAATCAAACTTTCCATTTTTGAGCTTTTAGATGGAATAAGTTTAACATGAGGATGATGTTTAGCTCATTGTAGACTTGTAGTCTTTTAGTTTAGTTCATTCTTTATATATCAATTCAATTTTTAAGAGAATCATGTATAACCCATGACATGGAAAAAAAAAGCGAGAGAATACGTTATCTATAAAATATCGCACATCTTAACCAACCAATTAGTTGGACATGGACTCATGGCTGACGATACAAGTCATTACATCTCGATTTGAAATTATATGGTAAACACAACACTACACAAAATGGAACAAGAGCAACAGAAAATTTAAAAGAATCGAATAATTCTTAAACGTAATTAGTTTCTCACATATATATTGTCTGTTCAATGGATGCAGATACTTAAGTCATTCCAAAATTTACGACAATGCATGTGATTCAGTTTTAACATTCAGTCAAATTTTGAAGGGTTTAAAAAAATGATTCCATTTCGAACATTTATTACATCCAAACAACAAACAAGATCATAGTGTATCAGTTGGCAGCCTCTATTAATGTTTCTCTCGTCTTAAAATTCACAACCAAAAGCAAAACACATTAAAACACACACACATATATATATAACATATATATGTATACGTTACTGATTGAAACCTACATATCCATTGTCAGTGTGTGTCTATATAACACTCTCCATATGCTCTCATATTATTCGTCAACTTAAATCCTTTCTCCCCATTCGTCATCTAATCACATCTCTCCCACATAACAATGAATATTAATTATTCTCCACTAGGGTTTCTAATCTCACTCTTCTTCATTGTTACGTTTCTTGCACCACAAGTCAAATCTAGGGCTTTCTACGTCTTTGGTGACTCTCTTGTCGACAATGGAAACAATGATTACCTTATCACCACTGCTCGCGCCGACAACTACCCGTATGGTATCGATTACCCGACCCGTAGACCCACCGGACGTTTCTCTAACGGCCTCAACATCCCCGACATTATCAGTAAGTATAGTTCGAGAAAGGTTATAAGATAATAATATGTTTTTTTAATTATCTCTAACCATGGTTTAATGTTTTTAATCTCTACTAGGTGAGGCTATAGGCATGCCGTCGACTTTGCCGTACCTTAGCCCGCAGCTCACCGGAGAAAATCTTCTTGTCGGTGCTAATTTTGCGTCCGCCGGTATTGGTATCCTTAACGACACTGGAATTCAATTTGTAAGCAACTTCGATAATTCTTAAATTAAATGCAATAAACTATAACAAAAACAATAGGAAAAGCTATGGTCATTTTGGTCTTTAACCATTAATATTTTTGATAATTAGTCTTCTTTGGTTTAAGTCAAACCGGCCCTAGAGTGTTGGAAGTTATAATCATTTTAGTAAAAAGGAAACATAATAAAAAATTTTGGTTTTGTAATTTTTTTTAACACTGATTAATTATACACTACAAATTATGAGAAATATTACATAGCCGACAATTATGAGAAAATTGTGGTTTTGTAATTTAGGAGCCATAAGTTTATGTATATTAATTTCGAAATTTTTAAATGTTTTATTTTGGTACGTCGACTCTGGGTTTAAGGAGCTATTATCGTATTAATTCATTGTAATTCTTGTTTAGTTGCTGCGTTCAACTTGTTCTGAGATTAATTAATTTTTCTTGTTTGGCAGGTAAACATAATTAGAATAACTAAGCAGTTCGAATACTTCCAACAGTACCAGCAACGAGTGAGTGCATTGATCGGACCAGAAGCTACACAACAGCTAGTTAACCAAGCTCTTGTCTTAATAACACTCGGTGGCAACGATTTCGTCAACAACTATTATCTCATTCCTTTCTCTGCCCGCTCTCGCCAGTTCACGTTACCGGACTACGTTGTTTATCTCATTTCCGAATACGGAAAGATCCTTAGGGTAACGACAACTAAAACATAACTTAATCACCTCTTCTACTTTACTTTCACGTGATAATACTGAACTGTAAGTGACATACTGTCATATAGTAATAAATTGATGACTTACACGAAAGTACTAGCTAAGATCTTGGAATCTTGATTCTTGCATTACAAATTAGCTTATTGAATTGTTGGCTCAGTATAGAACATTGCCTTTAATAAGTGACCCCTCAATAATTTATTTCGCTATATCACCATGTTATTAATGACATTATTCTCTTGAAAAGAGGAGAGACATAAATTTTTCTTTTTTTTAAATAATGGGGAAGATTTAATTTCTCTTCTTTAATTATATATATATATATATATAACTGATAATAATTATTTTCTTTCTTCTTTTGTCTGTATTGATAAAGAAACTCTATGAGTTGGGTGCAAGAAGGGTTCTAGTAACCGGAACTGGTGCGATGG